TATATATATATATATATATATATATATATATATATATATATATATATATATATATATATATACCTTTAAAATTTTTAAAAAGGTTTTAATAAATAAATAATGACCCAAGCTTTCGCCGGCTTTCCTGCCGGCATCTTCAGGGATCCGTGTCAGTCAATGGGAGGGCACTCCTTATATTATAGCCGCCTTTGTACCCGGTCCATAGGTGCTGTCGCGATGTTCCACCGGCCAATCCCCGCTCCAATTCCATTCTCATTTCAATGAGTTGATCTACCTGGACCTTGCCTGCTTCACACGATCGTTCCACACCCATTCTCTGTTTCCTGTCTATTGATTATTTAATACGCACACCTCCCCTTTTTCTCGGTCTTCCCCCTTTTCTTTTCTGAGGGTGGGGGGTGGGCGAAAGGCACGAGTAAAAAGGGGGAATGCAGGACGAGAGAGGCACGCTGGCAGGAGGAATGGGAGTGTAGGGTGAGTGGCACGAACGGGTGTGAAAGTGAGAACGGTGGGGGGATGAAGGCCATGAGAGGAAAGGGGGAGAAATGTGCGAAGAGAGAGGCACGGCGACAGGACGAGCAAGAGGGTAACATAAATGGTGTGAAGGGGGGTGGGAGTGAGGGTGGGGGGGGAGTGAAAGGTATGAGAGAGATGAAAGATACGAGAGGGAAGTGGGGGGAATGCAGGAAGAGAGAGGCACGGTGGCAGGATAAGTGGGAGTGCAGTGTAAATGAGGTATGTGCATGTACGTGCCCCCGGGGGGGCAAGGGGGAGGAGAGTGAGCTGGGATTGACCACCCGGCGAGCAGACGGAGGAGTGTGGATTGAGGAGAGGGGAGAGATAGAGAGGGTAGATAGGATGTCTGGACAAGAGGGGGGGAAGAAAGACCAGGTAGGTAGAGTACAGCGGCCACCGGATGGGATGGGGGAGGTGGACAGCGGGGAGGAGGAGGAGATCAGGGAAAGAGAAGTAAAAGCACAACAATGTCCCTTTGTAGGGCCGATTACCCGCTCGCGCGCAGCTGCTCTACAGAAATACCAAACCCCGATGGAGAGAGAGAGAGGGGGTGGGGGTCTATGGCATGAGACAGAAGAAAAAGAAAAAGGGGGAAGACCGAGAAAAGAAAAAAAAAAGGGGAGGTGTGCGTATTAAATAATCAATAGACAGGAAACAGAGAATGGGTGTGGAACGATCGTGTGAAGCAGGCAAGGTCCAGGTAGATCAACTCATTGAAATGAGAATGGAATTGGAGCGGGGATTGGCCGGTGGAACATCGCGACAGCACCTATGGACCGGGTGCAAAGGCGGCTATAATATAAGGAGTGCCCTCCCATTGACTGACACGGATCCCTGAAGATGCCGGCAGGAAAGCCGGCGAAAGCTTGGGTCATTATTTATTTATTAAAACCTTTTTAAAAATTTTTTTAAAGGGTTTTGTTTTCCTGGTGCTCATTTATATTTATAAGCTTTTATCATGAACACTCCCAGGAATCAACTGTCAGTTTTTATATATATGTGGTAAAAAATTTTGGTTTAATGTTAAAATTACTAAAACTACTAATAAAACCAATTAAAACGCCTAGCTTTCGTCAGCTATCTGCTGACGTCCTCAGGGCTCAAAATGTCAGTCCATGGGAGTTGCTTTTATAACTTGACTAGCGTGTGCGCACGGCTTCTTGACCTCGTTGTTGGGCCGGTCATGACTAGGCACA